CTAAAGGACTGTCACATAAAATATCTCATTATATTCCCCTTGCAGTCCTAAAAGCAAGGTGTAATAAATCCTCTCATCTCCATTCTCCCAGTGAGAGAACTGAGTTTTCTGTATGTGATGTACACACATGAACTAGTCCTCTTCTGACAGGGGAGCACTTTCTCCTTTTGTTACACAGCAGGCATGGTTTTGCTAAGGTCAGCTGCCACACATAGCTGGATGTGTTCCACAATATCTTTTGTTATTTATTATCATAATTATTATCATTATCACAGAAATAATGCGTGATCATTGCAGAACATTTTGAAAATATAGGAAAGTGAAAAGATGTCTCACCACCAAAGAGGACAATCAACAAGCCAGTCTGTTTTTTCAGTCTTTTTCTTTGCACATTTTAAAAGTTATGATTGTACTTTATGTACATAAACACACTCTACTGTTTAAGTGTGATGTTACATCAGAAGTATTTTCATGTTACTGCCTTTAAAGAATCTGCTTTTAAATAACTGGAATATTAAAACATGGATTAAGCTATTTATCTCCATGGACAATGAAATTTTATAACCATTTTTCATTTGATCCCTAAGTTCTCATCTACATTTTACTGAAAAGCAAAAAAAATTAATGTCCTATATATTACTTCTTCATAGTAATATTAGTACCTAAATTAGAGAGCTATTATTGCCATGATCCCTAAGTTCTCATCTACATTTTACTGAAAAGCAAAAGAAATTAATGTCCTATATATTACTTCTTCATAGTAATATTAGTAACTAAAAATTAGAGAGCTATTATCGCCATTGCGTAATTCTTTTAGAACCAAGAATTGCTTCCAAAGAAACCTAGAAAAATAGGAAGACAAATACAATTTCAAGGCTTAAATTAAGGCAATTTGTAGTTATTCACATTAGTTGCTCAAATAAAATAAATATATTCTATAGCATAGTTTTACCCTGTACCTATCACAGTATATATATTAAGGACTCCATAACTATTGTAATTGAACTAATGTTTTTTCCTCTAACCCATCCTACACTACTTCTTTTATTCTCTAATAAAAATGTTTGAAGTACTAGACAAGCAGTGGGCAAAATGAGAAATAGCTATATAAGAAAAGCTTATGATTTTTCCTCTTTCTTTCTGGTGCTTATTACTCATAGTTATGGTTTCATAAACACCAAAATGTATATATGTTTCAACAAAAGCAATGCTAAAAGCATGTGAGCACTGTCACAGCCTTTTCCTTTTTATCAAAAAATCCCAGATTTATCTTTCATTTACACTTTACTCTAGCAAATATTTGAGCATGTGCTATTGGTCAGTAGGGACTCCTGGCACAAATTTAGCATCTAGTTGCCTCTTGCTCTTTACCAGCTGTAAAAAGAGAGTGATGATAATTACAGACCCAACTCAAGGAGTTGTTCTAAAGGCTGAGATCCTGCCACGGAGTCCTCGGAAGAGCACCTGGCATAGAGTAAACCTTAACCATGTAGATCTCTCTACTCTGTGGCTACAAAGAACAGGCACACTGACAGGAATTGAAGAGGGTTTGTTGAATTAAATTAATGACATTTTAGAAAACTTTGTGGGAGTACTCGAGCTACCACTTGCCCCACAGGCTGACTCCATTCTTAATAGGAGAAGAGCCCATGTTTATATTTGAACAAATTTGAATACCAGGAAAAAGTACCCGAAAAGAGCATTGTACACCCTCTCCTACTGCAGGCTTTTTCTTCCAAGATAGTGTCGGACTTGCAGAGTCCACCTGTGTAAATATTTGCTTATTCTTGAGAAAGAGGCCATGGAAATTTATCTGTATCACAAATCAAAAACCATGTCTAGTTTCATAGTTAACTTAAACGTTTACTTGCAGGATACAAGTTTATGTTTTTATGGATATATTAAAGGACAAGTTTATTAAATTGATATTTTTACTCATGTAGAAGATGGAGTAATGGAAAAGCTTCTCCCCAAATTTTTTTATTAAATAAATACATGACTTAAAGAAATCAGAAAAACAGTGCATATATGAGGAGAATAACCATGGTATCATTACATACCATACCTTGCATTGCAAAGGAGTGGGGACAAGTGTGGGCTCTGGAGCCAACTGGCCTGCTCTTGTACCTCAGCTCCACCTCTCTGTGATGAGTGAGTGTAGGCAAGTGGCTTCTCCTGTGCCTCCTTTCTTCATCTATGCAGTGGGGATGAAATGGTATTTATCCTAGGGTTAACACAAGACTGGAAGTTCTATCTGTAAAGCATAAGAACTAGGCTTGGCCCTGAGTAAGCACACCATCAATATTACCTAATACTATTATTGTTTTAAATAGAACCTCCAACTGCTAATGATAATAAACACAGGACAATAACAATTATATAAAAGCATGATGTACTCCACTACCATGTGCAAAAGTAAATTCTACAGAGTACCTGGAAAGATAAAATTGCTACAGTTAAACACTGAGAACTGGTTCTCATCACATTTTAGTGATGAAATTGGAAGACTTAAATATAATTCAAATAATGAAAAGCATCAAAGTGGGGAGCTCTCTCTTTATAAGACACTGCCTTCTCAGTAATGCCTACAAAGGATTATTGTTGATCTAAAATCATAACCTCAGAGACTGTCTGCCTCATATTCTAAAGGACTGTCACATAAAATATCTCATTATATTCCCCTTGCAGTCCTAAAAGCAAGGTGTAATAAATCCTCTCATCTCCATTCTCCCAGTGAGAGAACTGAGTTTTCTGTATGTGATGTACACACATGAACTAGTCCTCTTCTGACAGGGGAGCACTTTCTCCTTTTGTTACACAGCAGGCATGGTTTTGCTAAGGTCAGCTGCCACACATAGCTGGATGTGTTCCACAATATCTTTTGTTATTTATTATCATAATTATTATCATTATCACAGAAATAATGCGTGATCATTGCAGAACATTTTGAAAATATAGGAAAGTGAAAAGATGTCTCACCACCAAAGAGGACAATCAACAAGCCAGTCTGTTTTTTCAGTCTTTTTCTTTGCACATTTTAAAAGTTATGATTGTACTTTATGTACATAAACACACTCTACTGTTTAAGTGTGATGTTACATCAGAAGTATTTTCATGTTACTGCCTTTAAAGAATCTGCTTTTAAATAACTGGAATATTAAAACATGGATTAAGCTATTTATCTCCATGGACAATGAAATTTTATAACCATTTTTCATTTGATCCCTAAGTTCTCATCTACATTTTACTGAAAAGCAAAAAAAATTAATGTCCTATATATTACTTCTTCATAGTAATATTAGTACCTAAATTAGAGAGCTATTATTGCCATGATCCCTAAGTTCTCATCTACATTTTACTGAAAAGCAAAAGAAATTAATGTCCTATATATTACTTCTTCATAGTAATATTAGTAACTAAAAATTAGAGAGCTATTATCGCCATTGCGTAATTCTTTTAGAACCAAGAATTGCTTCCAAAGAAACCTAGAAAAATAGGAAGACAAATACAATTTCAAGGCTTAAATTAAGGCAATTTGTAGTTATTCACATTAGTTGCTCAAATAAAATAAATATATTCTATAGCATAGTTTTACCCTGTACCTATCACAGTATATATATTAAGGACTCCATAACTATTGTAATTGAACTAATGTTTTTTCCTCTAACCCATCCTACACTACTTCTTTTATTCTCTAATAAAAATGTTTGAAGTACTAGACAAGCAGTGGGCAAAATGAGAAATAGCTATATAAGAAAAGCTTATGATTTTTCCTCTTTCTTTCTGGTGCTTATTACTCATAGTTATGGTTTCATAAACACCAAAATGTATATATGTTTCAACAAAAGCAATGCTAAAAGCATGTGAGCACTGTCACAGCCTTTTCCTTTTTATCAAAAAATCCCAGATTTATCTTTCATTTACACTTTACTCTAGCAAATATTTGAGCATGTGCTATTGGTCAGTAGGGACTCCTGGCACAAATTTAGCATCTAGTTGCCTCTTGCTCCGAAAGGCTGATAAGTCATTTCACTGGCCAAACAACCAGCAGCTTCTTTCATCCTTTTGAGAAATTTAACCACTTCTGCAGTCTTGATGGATATACCTTGTGAACTGACAACACAGCCTTATTGGGTGAACAAATTTTTAGAAAATCAACTGACTGAGTCTCATACACAACTGTGAAAGACCGCACTGTCCACAGGTAACCCCCCTGAGAAGGGCCTAAGTTCACTGATTTCAGTTGGACAACCGCATTTACTGGGCATTCACTATGGGCAGGGGGCTGTGCAGAGACACTGTGGGAAGATGCAAAAAAGGAAGAGAGAGGGCTTAACTGGAAGGAGTTTATACTTTAAGAACCTAAGACAAATATTCACAACCCTCCCCCCACAAAACCTAAACAAAATCAAGAACAAATATGCAAAAGTAATCACAGTTAAACTGAGAGATCAAATCCAATAGGAGAACCATTTGGGGCTCACAAAGTAACTGGTATCTTCATCATTTCTTTTTAGATTAAGAAAATGTGGGGGCTCTTCTCCCTAACTAATTAAATCACTGCCATCTCATAAAGATGCCAAAGCCCCTCCCACTCCTGAAGAACAGGGTGAAGGGTTGAAAAGACAAGAGAGCAGAAGGTTGACTGGGGGAGAGTACGGAGCAGTGGTGTGCTCATTTGAATGGGCATGTTGGTGAATTTTGTCACTCAGCCACAGGCTCTGAGAGCAGCATTAATTAATCTCTCGGTTTATGAAGCCAACTCCCCTCATTCCACTACTCCTCCATCACACACACACATGTGCACACTCACAGAGCCATTATACCTCACACAGGCTGGATGGGTAAATTGGCCTAGGTCTACTGATAAAGTTGTATTCTATTAAAACAACAAGTATAGAGTAAGAATTCAAATGCAATATATTTGAAAAGGCTGGACAACTGAAGGTATGCAAAGCAAGTTATCTGGACCTGAGACGTCCGGAGGCTTGTGAGCTTACCAAGAATAATTCTTCGTGGTGAAAGGTCCAGGCTTCCAGACAGAGTTGTCAGCAGATGCGACCAGCTCTCCAGAAAATCTGGTGGCAGTGTGGTTAGTCTGTTGCTTGACAAATCCAAGTAGGCAAGATTCTTCAGGTACTTGACTGCCTCAGCTGGCACACTGGTTATTCTGTTATTGTGCAAATCCAAGGTTCTCAGATGGGGCAAGTCGAGCAGAGATGCCCAAGGGAAAGCAGCCAGAGCATTCCCCCCCAAGCGCAACTCATGCAGCTGCTTCAGGTTGTAAAAGCTGCTGGCATCAAGGCTGGCCACGAAGTTGTAAGTCACCCAGAGGTACCGGAGCTCCACCAGGTAGTAGAAGGCCTCGGCGGGGAGTCTGCGGATGACCGTCTTCTCTATGCGAAGCTTCTCGGTGTCCACAGGGAAGTTTGTAGGGACCTCATTCATATCCAGGTCATTACACAGCACCAACCTGGTGTCACAATAAGGGCAATGCAAGGGAACCTGCTTTCTGAGATGCATTTGAAAACATACTTATTTGAAACATGTATTTGAAAACATACTTATTTGAAACATGCATCAGTTCTGTGTTTCCTACTGGTTTTCATAAAATATCTGTTCAGCCTGGTTGAATAATTCATCATTGTCATCATCTTCCTCTAGGTTGAGCCATACAAAATGGCCATTTTTGTAGTTAAAAATGATGAAAGATCAGCAATCTCACGTGGTTCACCCTAATACTGAGGGAGCTCTCTGTGAGTCGGGCCTGCACAGTGCACCTCACATCCACTCTTTATTTAACCACAACAGCCATGGGAGGCAGATACTACTAACAGGTAAAGGCAGTAGCTCTGGGATCAGGCTGACCTTGGTTCAAGCCTAAGCTCTGCCACCTCCTTTGCGGCCATGAAAAGCCACCTCACCAGTCCCTCACCCTCACTTGCCCATCCAGCACTGGCAGGATGAATGTTCGAAATGGATGTTAAGTTTTACACATTCCTGGCACATAAAAGGCACTCAATGGATGTCTACTACTTTTGTTATCAATCTAATTTTTAAAGATAAAACAACTGAGGCCTACCATCATGGAGAAGGTAACTTCCCAAGGTCACGTAGCTGGTGGGCTACACAGTCCCCTTTCCTGCCACACCTGCCCAACTCCAAAGTGCACGCACATAATTGCTGTAGGAAATGGCTCATTTTAAAAGAATACCCTACTGGTACTATAAATTGATCCTTTCTAAGAGGAAATTAATTTTTAAAAGGAAGGAAGGGTGGAAGGAGTAGGAAAGAAAGACCAGATCTCCAGAAAGATGGAAAGAAAAGAAAAGAGAGAGAGGGAAGGAGGAGGGAGGAAGGGAGGGAGGAAGGAGAGAGTAAAAAGAAATAGAGAAAAGAGAAAAGGAGGAAAGGAGGGAGGGAGGGAGGAAAGAAATGCAAGTGTTCATACAAAATGCTTCAAGTTGTGCTCTATTTTAATATGCAACCTGTGCATTGCTTTCAGCTCAAGGAATAAACCAGAAATGAGATTATTCCCTTCCTACTCACTAACTTAGTGACTTTGAACAAGTCATATTGTGATCTTGTTTAGTGGCACGTGTAAAACAGGCTTAGAAAAACAAGCCTGACCTATATGTGGGAGTCAAGCATGAAGAATCAGAGAACTTAGATTCACTTTAACTTGAAAAAGACCTCTTATAAACTCCTCACTGGATTGCTGAAAATAAACAATAACAATTTTGTAACACATGATCTAAATTATGCTACATTATACAGGTAGCAATAACGATACACAGCCATTCAGTAAAACACATCACATTAAATTGGTGAATTTTTAAAGTCAACCTCTAATGTAAGGAGAGGTGGTGAGTAGCCTAACTCTGCCGTGTACTGGAGCTTCATCTCCTTTCCATAACTTTAAAAGAAACCCTATGGAATCATTGGGATTTTCTAGGACACCTCTGATTCTTCATCTCTATTCCTTAACACAAATTTCAGAGGTAGTTTATACCAGAATGATCCAGTTCCTACTCATTAAGTCAGTATTCCATTGTGCTACGGGAGAAAACAACCTGGACAGCTTGCATATATATCACCTGTCACTGCATCAACCCAAAGCCATGACCTTAGACAAGTCATTTAGTCTGGTTTTCATTTCTTTGCTCATAAAATCATGGTGGTAGAACAAGATTATTTCTAGAGTTCTTGCCAAGCATAATACACTATAATTTTTATAAAATCTGTCAACAGTGGGTTCAGGATGGAGAAAGGAAACATTTCTGTGATTATGTTCTCAAAAGTACCCTGACCTGAGTCATTAGCAGCTACATTTCTTTTGCCCAGCAGGTCTTTAATTTTTACATTCACTTTGTCTTAAACCACCTACTGAATATCTCAGAGATACCAACAGTTGGTTAAGTAAAGATTATATAGTAACAAGACAAATTACTCAAAAATATGCTTTAATTATTGTTATTTGTTTAAAGTTGTAAAACATAAGTTGGGAAATTCTTTTAACAAATTACTTTAAGAGGCTCACTGTTCACTTTAACCAAGTCATAAAAAAACAGGATTTTGTTATTAAATAACCTCTCAAAAAAAAAATCAACATTCACCATGTTTAGCTAACATGAGTTTCATTTTACTTGTAACTTCTATCTCAAAAGACTCATATAGTAAAAGAATGTAATTATTTTCAGTTCACAGGTAGATGGTAAAGCAACCTAGAGGTGAAATAACTTCTGTGAGGTCCCACAATTTCTGCAACAGATGGAGTCAGTCTGTATCTTTCAAAGCTTGTTTCTTTGTAAATGCCAATATCTTAAAATGAAATATTCTAATTATGAACCTCTGTAACTTCACTCTTGTGATATTCCTTCTTACTTCCTAAGGTCTATCCAGTTGGCATGAATAACCCTCAAAATGAAATTGAACACACAGAAAGAAATCATGTGGGCATGTCAAGCACCTTCTGGGGCCCTGACCCCTTGTGCTTTCTATCATCAGGCTGAGCTGGCCACACACATTTCAGTGCTTTGACTTCCTGAAAGGACATTTTGTGAATATACAAGTACAATGAATATTTTTGTAACACAGAATGTATTTGACAGTCTTAATTTAAAGGGCTTTCAAGAGCTAAACTACTCAAATAAAAACAATGGAGGAGGCAATCAAATTAAACTTCTCTGATTTCTAATCAACAGTTTGCTTTCAAAACAAGACTGCCTTGTTGGAGTCCTTTTTCTCAGAATCACTAAAACACCCAGTAGCAAGGGGAGGAGCATACCTTGATCCCGTGCCATCATTTCTGCCTTGATAACTGCAGGCGCACTGTGAAGGACACTCACAGCTCACTCCTTCCAAAAAGCTAAGCACAAGGCACAGACATGCTAAGAGAAGCATCTCTGTTTTCAGAGGTAAAAGCCAAATCCTAAGCATTCAGAAACTGGTGTGCCAGGAATGCAAACAGCCATTTAGTAACAGCAGATTACACAGGATTAGCTGAGATCTATAGTTACTTAACCTTCAAGTGTATCTTGCAGGGGGGATCAGTTGACCTAGACTTTGAATATGGTTTCAGCAAAGTAACACATTTTAAGGAAAATGAAAATCAAACACATGTCAAGAAAATTTCAGTAGTTGCTCATGTCTAGATTTGGAAGGATTGCCAATTAAATCTCTTTTCTATGAATTTAATTGCTACTATACCTATCAGATACAGTTAATGTTAAAAATAATTCAGTATATCAGCCAATACTAGAAAATACTGCAGATTATTTATGTTTTATAAGTTTTCCCTTTTGCATTTGCTTTTTATGACCATGCCTAACATTCAGGTTTATAAAATTGAGCTTTAAAGATAGAAGCACAAGGCATAAAATTGATTTACAGTTATCAATATTGCCTTGTATTGGCTATCTTACAAAATAAACAGTATCTAGATTTTTTAGGCAAAATGCTTCAATCCACCACTAAATAGGCAAGACTAAGTCTCCAGGGAGAGTGCGGCCTGCAGTCATCCTGGGTCATCTCTGTGCAGAGTAAGGCTTATCCCAGAACATTTATTTTGAAGAAGGCCGTGATCTCTGTCCAAGAATACACTTTATTCCAAGCTAGTTTCCCAAGTTATGGGCATCAAACCATTTCTGAAGATCAACTGTCATGTCTTTGGCAAAATTAGCCTCTTCTTAAAATAAATATTAAATTAAATAATTCAAAAACCACACCCACACCTAAGATGGAGACACCTCAGGGATGATCAACGATACAGGTAATATGTATATAAGGCATTGTATCTTCCTGTTGGGTGGTTCTACCTATCCTCTTTACACCAAAAACGTTTTAGAAGAAAATCAATTCTATAAAAATATGATAATTATAGGAAATAATATTTAAATAGAATACACATAGGAACAATAGAGTCAGAAGAATATGCTAAATTAAAATAAGATACTATGGATTTTAAATGTACACTATTTTAAACAATGGTTTATTACCATGCTATGCTTAATGGTCATTTACAAGACCATATGAGAGTCTACAAATTCATTCAAGTTTCAACAAATATTTATTTATATGTGCCAGGCAAAAGAGATCAAAGAATGAACACACAGCTAATTTTATAGGCACAAAGTTTCAGTTAAGCAGGATGCATATATTCTAGAGATCTGTACAATATTGTCCTTAAAGTTACCAATACTGTATTGTACACTTAAAAATTTAAGAAAGTAGATCTCATGTTGTGTTCTGACTATAATAAACTAAATTTCAAACAAACAAAAATGATGGGAGAGAAAAGCACAAACATAAAAACACCCTGACTCTGATTGAACTTTTTTCTAGTGGCAAATATATGGAAATACATACAGAAAAAATGTGATTAAAAATGCAGAGTACACAATAATATGCACAGATATTATATGGCTATATAAAATATATATATGTGCATTGACCGACATCTGATTTAGAAGCAAGTATTTAATTGATTATTTTTGTCAAATAGTAAAAATTAATAATTGCATTAAAATTTAAAAATTGTGAAGTGCTAAAAATGTTTTCCATTCTAGCTGGAAACATTCAGCAACTCATTCAGTAATTACTTCTTGAAGACTATTAACTATTATTATTGATTTATTCTAACATTAAACTAGCAGCTGCTTCTAGAACCCAAGCAAGTTACCAGGTTATCAATACAGTGTAATGCATGCCATGCATGACAGAGTGAAAGAGAAGGGGCCTTAAACTCATGTGCCTGGATTCATCAAAGGAGATGAGCAGCAAGTTCACATAAAGGAAATAAAGAGACACATTCACTAGAGTAACAAGTGTGCCAGCAGAAGACCTATGAGCTACACTTGAAGAATTTAAGTTTAGTAGGTAATCTAATTGGACTCAGATTCCAAAGAATTTACAGTTTAGTAGGTAATCTAATTGGACTCAAATTCCAAATTAAATTAAACCACTGGGGGGAAAAAGTAAATAATATGTTTTGGCAATGTGCGCTTTTTCTCTTATTTCAGTTTCTTCCAGAAGCCAGTGGGTTTTGAGATACATCCATTGGTAAAACACTGGTCATGGGAGTTGCTTGGTGAGTCTGACATTTTAACATGGCAAACATTGCCTTCCGGAATCTATAATAAGAAAGAGAAAATATGGCATTATCCTATAATAATTTGGAACTTTTAAATCACTTTCAAATATAATTAAGATGCCACTACTGCCAACTGATACCTTCAAATAAATTTCTGCCTCCAACTTTAACATCTCCAGTTGAGAACTTTTATAAATGTATCAAGTATATGGTACAGTTAAAGACCAATTTTGTGTCATTGATTATAAACATTAAAGACATTTACTAACAATAATTATATCTAAGATGACACTTTTAATGTCAGTTGCAAAGATTTATTTATTTGAACTGAGAAAGTGTATTTCATGCACTTGTTCTTTTGAGAATTAAAGGGAGCTTGAGAATGACTGACCTTTTCAAGAGAACTACCAATTGACACTGAATTAAAAGTGGTTCTTCATTCTTCTATATGGATGTTTATTCTTTTCTTATTGAAGTATCATTGATATGCAATCTTATATTGATTTCAAATATACAACACAGTGGTTCAACAGTTACCCATATTATTAAATCCTTACCCCATCTAGTACTGTTACTATCTGTCAACACAGAAGGATGTTACAGAATCATTGACTAAATTCTCCATGCTGTACTATCCCCATGACCAACTTATATCATGAGTGAGAGTTTTTGTGCCTCTTTATCCCCCTCCCCTTCCCACACACCTCCCCAAACACTTCCCCCATGGTAACCACTAGTCTCTTCTCAGTGTCTCTGAGTCTACTATTTTGTTCATTTTGTTTTGTTTTGTTTTGTTTTTATATTCCACAAATCAGGAAATCATATGGTATTTGTCTTTCTCTGCTTGGCTTATTTCACTGAGCATAATACCCTCTAAATCCATCCATGTTCTTGCAAATGGCAGGATTTTTTTTATGGCTGAATAGTATTCCATTGTGTACATGTACCACTTCTTTATCCACTCATCTATTGATTGACAGTTCTATTTTTTGTTTGTTTGTTTCTCCACATTCCTATAGCTAAAGCTGCTCTCCCAAACATGTGCATAAATACCTAAGTTTAACAGAAGCAGCATTGGCTTTCCAAGATCAAATTTTCACCTAACCTCTACTGAGACTTTTCTTGTCAAATATTTAAGGACAGTATATTGATTCATTGCATCTTTTAACAGTAGCAGGAAATAAAACAACCTAAATTTCCCTGAGGAGGCAGAAAAGAAATCCTTACCTAGAGTCCCAACAGAGGGTTAATTCATTGTCCTGAATAACTACCCATTCCTGAAGCCCTTTACCTTAGCACTGGGGTTTTCCCCTGCATTTGAATGATAGGTCTTCTCTCTAGTAAATATATAATTATGTTACCCACTTAGGGACCCAACATTGCCTTGCCTTGCCCGTTTTCCAGTAATAGACCCACTCTTCTTTGGAAACCAACTCCATGTATTTTGGGTAGAGCAGCCACGAAGACTACTGAGCCCACCAATGACCTTCCAGTGGCTTTTCTGCCAGAGAGCCATCTGAGATGAATCTCATGTTTGGGGATGCTTAGCTGGTGGAACTTGGGTTTGGGGCTGTGCAGGATCATCTCATGTCTATGTGGGAAGAAGTTATCACAGAACTGGAGCTTTAGGTATTTAAGATCTTAGCTTCTCCAGCTGCATGAGCCAAAAAAACTTTTACACTAATTTGAAGTGAGTTTCTGTCACTTACTCCCAAAATGTCTCAGAACACTCTCCATTGCCTTTTTAGCATTCTTTCTGTAGCCACTTTTTTATTCAGAAGTATCTTAGACATTACTTACTTTTTATTAGCAACCACATAAATACAGGGATTGTAGAATGTAGAAGATTTTGCAAACAGTGGAGCTATGATGGCCACGGAGGGAGGAATCTTCTTTGGGTCACCAAAAGAAGCCCAGAAGCACACGATGGAATAAGGGGACCAGGCCACTAGAAACATGAATATCATTATCACAGACATCTGTAAAAGATAAAAATATGTAAAATCAGTATTTGCCAAACGCAGTATCTAAAATACTTAAATAGCTAATACATCTAAAATAGCATGAAAAACTCTCTAGATTAGAAGTTGAGTAAGTTTATGTTGTTGATGACATAAAGGAAAAACTGAATTTTGCCCTTCCTTGTCATTGCTTGTGTTCCAGAAATCATCTATGATAAGAAGAGCTTGTGAAAGGGGTAGGATGTTCCAGGAACATAAAGAATGCCCTCTTTCTTTGGGTGTGCTATGGAAGAATGCAAAATCTGACTTGATGAGTGGAAGATGAAGACCCACTCCTCACCCATTTCTAGTAATTGTGCTATGGGCTTCAGGCATTGCGTTTTGTTTTGTTTTCTCACTGTCATCTGCTAATCTAAAAAAATGACTTTCAAACTTTCTAAACTCATACTAGGAAAAAAACAAAATCCTATATTGAGTTTATTGAATTAGAATACAATTTGAACTCAATGTATACTATGTACAGTGCAGCTAGTTTTGTAGATGAGCTCCCATTGCATCTCGTTTAAATGAAACCTTATAATTTTTACATTGTTCCCTCCTGACTGCCCATTAAAATGATGGAAAAGAGGTTTAAAAAAATATAAACTCCTACGGACTGAGAATCACTGATTATACAGTAGCCTTGTAAAAATTAAAACTGAATAACCAGATGAAATTCTAAAAAACTAGAGATGCACTGATGACCCTTAAAGCTTCCAGAAAGAATACACAGATCATGACAAAGTGTCAGTCACCAGTATGCTGTCAGCCTCTGTGATAGCAGCACTGGAAGCCAGGAGACTTCAGAGCAATGCCTTCAAAATCCTTTGAAAATCATTTTTTCTACTTAGAATTCTATGCCAGGCAAACAATCAGTCAAGTATGATAACAGAATTAAGACATTTTCAAACTTGCAAAATCTTTCCCAGAAATCTATTTGGGAACATGCTATACCAGAAGAGAGAAAGCAACCAAGAAAAAGGAAGGCCTGCAATCCAGAAACCAGATAATCCAACCCAGGAGAGAGGCCCAAGGCTTCTGCAGCTGTGATGGAGGAGACCTGAGGATGCTGGCTCTCCGGCAGGGGTCTCAGACGTTGGCCAGCGTAGAGTAAGGGGCCCGAGTGTGCCAGTGGGGATAGTTCCAAGGAAAAGATAAAACCAATCTAGTCTAGTTCTGATGCATTTGAAAATACTGAAAGGAGGTTGATGCTTCTGGAGAGTTTTGAGATCAGTTAGTGACAAGTAACCAGAACAGTAAGCAAACAAAATTACAGAAAGAGAGAAAGTGAGAGAGGGAAAGAGGAGAGGAAAAGAGAGGAGGAGGAGGAGAGAAAACGAATGGATTACGAACCCCAAGGGAGAAAAAGAAACACAAATCATAAACTTCTACAGAGATCTGCAAGAAATATAATTATCTAAGATAGTTTATTACAATAATGTAAAACTGACTATTCTTCTAACCCAATATTAACATTATACTGACAAGAAAAGGAGAAAGGTTGTGGCAGAGGAATACAAAAGGTTGGTGGAGAAGAAAATAAATTCTCATTGTCTGTGGTAGAAAATCAAGAAGCAATAGCAAAAAAAAAAAAAAATCCAAAACAGCAGATAAGCACATCGTTTAGAAACATGGAGGCAAACCAAAAAAAAAAGAGAGCCAGAGAGTAAGAATCGGGTAAAAACTCAATTACAAAAGTATTTTTAAGGATTTTAGTGATTTACCTTTGTTACATCTACCTGGTCTGACCAATCTCTGTCCAGATCCTCGGTGCAGTTACTAGCAGTGTGGCCCTTAATGGTTCGAGAGACGTGATAATAGCAGTAAGACATCACCGTCAAGGGCGCAATAAAATTCACTGCGACAACTGTCATCGTGAAAGAAATGAAGGATCTGGAAGTAAGAAAAGGGAACCATGACATCACTGCTTTAAGTCACTACTTTAAATCACTAGTACTTGTTAACCATACTAAGTAGGGGGAGGGAAACAAAGTAATTACTAGAAATAATACTGGCACTGTCTGGCAATCATTCTATTATTAAACGGCTTAGGAAGTATTATTTTACTTCTAGTTCATTTAGACTAGGGGCTGGCAAACTATGACCTGTGAGCCAAATCCAGCCTATCACCTATCTTTGTAAATAAAATTTTGTTGGAACCACATTCATTTATATACTGCCTGCAGCTGGACAAAGTTGAATAGTTGCAGCAGAGGCAGTCTTGCCTGTAAAGCCTAAAATACTTACCTGTCGACCTTTTACAGAAAATGTTTTAGATTTAGATTTAGTTTGAGAGTCAGATTTTCTATTTGCTTTTCTGAGTCATCTTTCATTTCTGTTAACAAATTATCCTCTTTTCCCTGGTAAATACAGAGGAGCAACACAAACCAGCAAGCAAAGCCTCGCAGGGGAAGTGGGGTGGGGACGACTGCTTTTGCTGTGATTCTCAGCAGATGCGTGAGCACCAGTTCATCCTGAAAAGATAGTAGGGAGTCTGCTTGGGCTTTCACAGAGCTGCTAACAATGCTAACAACTCCACTCCCTTCTCAGATCCTACCTCTGAGGTGCAAGTATCAGAAGGGAGCTCTGTACCCCCTTTGTTGCCAGAGGAGAGAGAGGAAGGGACAGTGTAGGGGGACAAAGGGAGCTGGAAGGCCTTCACTGGCAAACAAGTGTAATTCAATGCGGGGGTCCCCCTATCACTAACATGGAAGCCCTTTACCACATTGTTTGGAAAGCATTTGATCTGAGCTGAAATTTGAAATACTAAGAAAACGTCTACATTAGAAGCATTTGATTATGAAGTGTAAATGTCTCTTACGTATCATTTTTCCGCCAGTTTATGGTACAGGTGGCCCCAGTAGGGTCTGGGGCATAACTAGCCCACCCAGTGAGAGGCATCAAGGCCCAAAAGAGGCCATTGGTCCAGGCCCCCAGGATCATGCTGATATAAGTGTTGGTGGTTATTCTTCTTCCTATTAATACATGAAATATTCGCATCATTTGCCAAGGGTAGGATTCATCTTTTCACTTTCTTTTAGCTGATTATTCAAAGTTGTTATCAAATAGATTCTTTACAGAGCAGTCTAGTTCACAAAGCCTATCTACATGAATTTACATTCTGAAAAAGAAATGGCATATAAGCTGAAACCTGAAAAAAAAGGATTAGCCAGAGGAATAGCAGGGGGAAGCACTTTCTGAGTCTAGGGAAAAACAACATTTGCAAAGACCCCGAAGTGGGAAAGGGTCTCACCAGTATTCCAAAGTGTCCTGACAAAAAAAGGATCAGCCACAGGAATAGCAGGGGGAAGCACTTTCTGAGTCTAGGGAAAAACAACATTTGCAAAGACCCCCAAAGTGGGAAAGGGTCTCACCAGTATCCCAAAGAGTGAGGGCCTTAGCCAAAGCTGGAAAGGTAGCAGGGGCTAGAGCATGCAGGGCCTTGGAGGCTGTTAGGAAATATGGATTTTATTCTAAATATAATAGGATATCATTGCAACTTTTGAACAGGTATTGTAAGAGAATTAAGAGTGACCGTGTCTGCAACTCACCACATTTATATTTTAAAGTCAATCTGTGTCAAGTGGTGCTTAGGCAAGAAAGTTGAGAGAAGGGCTGTACCCGTGTGAGAACAGCAGAGCGTCAGGTATCGGTCCATGGCCACAGCTGTGAGTAACCCAATGCTTGCCATTCCAAAAAAGATATTCAGCACAGCATAAATCTGAAAATCAAAATTCAAAAGAATCTGCCATTCTACACAATCTCCCAAGAGACATCTACATTTCTATCCCATTGCCAAAGTATCTTTTAAATACATTGAATGTTTTTTAGTTTACTAATTTTAAAATAGACCTTCCATTGTCAAATTATAACTGGTGTAATAAAGGCATTTATGGAAAGTGTTTTAGGACTTCATTAATTAAAATAAGCTTTTTTATAAGTTTTAAAATTTATTTAATTCTATACAAAACTTCTACACAACTTACTCCATAAACAGAGTATAAGAATGAGCCGTAAATCAGGTGCAGTGAAAATAACCAACGGAAGATTAGTATTCAGAAGATAGGCAATTCAATAAAGGGAAAAGACAGGGAAAAAATGGGTTAGTCACACAAAAGCACACCTGAATGTTTATAACTTTACCAAAGACGTAACTTCCCTCACCGACAACATTCACCTCCTGCAAGTATCTGACTCTATTTCCCTTCCAAATGCCCAGGGCACTCTCTCCAACAGGGAGGGTTTTGTAGCAACCCCACCTTCACACCCATTGGACGGCAAGGAAGCTGGCAGAGGGACTAGGCAGCCTGGAGGAAATGGGACAGAGATGGGAGGCAAGATGACTTGGTTCAAGATTAAAAGTGTTCATATATGGGCAGAAAGGGGTTGGGGCAGCAGCTAGATTCACACCCCAGGTGGTGTTCTTGTTGAGAATTGTGTGGCATCTAGACCTATCAGTTCTTCCGTGGCTTCTGGCCTTGCTGAAAATAGTTCTAGAAATGTTCCTTACTGCAGTGTTATGGATAATAGGGAAATTTTGGAAACAGATTAAAGAGCCAATGGGAGTGGACTGGTCAAATTAAGAGCCATGTCACCAATCAGTGGAATGGTATAGAGTCATTAAAAACACTGTGGGATTGAAAGAAACTAGAAAAAGAAGAATAAAAGAATGCCAGAGTTAGTAGGAGGGACATAATAAAGATCAAAACAGAAATAAAGTAGAGAAGAATAAAAAAAACAAGTCAGTGAAACTAGGAGCTGGTTCTTTGAGAAAATAAACCAAATAGATAAATCCCTACCTGGATTTATCAAGAAAAAAGGAGAGAGTACACCCATAGACAAAATCAGAAACAAAGAAGGAATAGTCACAACAGATAACACAGAAACACAAAGACTTTAGAGAATATTAGAAAAAATATGCCAATAAACTAGACAACCTAGAAGAAATGGACAACTTCTTAGAAAAATACAACCCAGGAAGAAACAGAAAATCAGAACAGACCAATTACCAGCAATGACACTGAATTGGTAAACAAAAACTCTAGGTGGAGAAAGACAAATACCATATGATTTCACTTATTTGTGGAATATAAAAACAAAATGGAATGAAGAAAACAGCAGTAGACTCATAGACACTGAGAAGTGACTAGTGGTTACTACGGAGGAGGGTTTGGGGTCTGTGGGTAAGGAGTGTAAGGGGGATAAAGGGGCAGAATAATTCGCATTCACAATCTAAGTTGGTCACAGGGACAGTAGTACAGCTTGGAGAAATAATGATTCTGTAACATCTTTCTATGTTGATAGGTAGTAACTGCACTAGAGGGGGTAAGGATTTAATAATATGGGTAACTGTTAAACAACTGTGTTGTACATTTGGAACCAATATAAGATTGTATATCAATGATACTTCAATAAAAAATTTTTATATTAAAAAAACACTGTGGGATGGAACCATTTGCTTCTAATCTGTACATTTTTCTGTTGGTATGCTTACTTCGGTAGAAAGAATTACATTTTAAATGATGCTGTAGACTATTTAATGGCATGAGCAAAAACTCTCAATTCAATGCCAAATTTAAAAAATTTAAACTATACTGTATTATATACTTGACTATTGCTAAAAGAGCAGATCTCAAATGTTCTCATCATAACAAAGAAATATTCACTATGTGAGGAGATGGAGGTGTTAACTAATGCTATGTTGGTAATCATTTTGCAGTATAAAAATGTACCAAATCAACATGTTATACACAATGTTATATGTCAATTATATCTCAATAAAGCTGGAAAAATAAGACGTAAAACTGCATTATGTAGTCAAAGAAATGTAAAATATAAGATACCACTTTACAGCCACCAAAATGATAAAAACTTAAAAGTCTGGCAATCCCAAGCACTGGGGAGAATGTGGAATAATAGTTCTCATAGTTGGTATAACCATTTTAGAAAGCAATTTGACCACATCCAATAAAGTTGAATATTCTCTGCAACCTCCCATCCCTCTCCTAAGCAATATGTCTAAAACTCACACATTGTAGGAGACATGTATAAGAACATTTACTGAAGCCTTGTTTGTGGCAGAAAAACATGGGGAATAAATGCTCAATAATAGGAAAATGAGTAAGTACATTGAATATGTTCATGAAATGGAATATCACATAGCAATTAAAATGAGTGACTCATAACTGTATCAACAGCATGGATAAACCTCAAAAATATAACATTGAATACTGAAAGGAATAATGCTAACAATGTTATTTTATTTACAAAATTCAAAACATTCAGACAGTATATAGTTTATGAACACATAACTATGTAGTAAGATAGAAAAACATTCATGGGAGATAAAGGAATAAGACTGGGGATGGTACTCAAAGGCCTTCAATAGTATCTGTAAAGTTTTATATCTTTAAAAAGAAAAACAACCTCAAGCATACATTGCAAAACATTAAGATTTGACACAACTGGTTGATGTACATTTGGGTGTTCATTATTCTCTACCGCTCTCATTTTATTCTTTATAATCTCATACCCAAAATAGTAAACTGTTTAAAAAAAGTCAGGCCAGAAGTCATATTTGTCTACTATTTTAATGCAAATCAACATTTATTTTATTGTCAGTAGGAATAATAGTATATAATTATAAACTACACTATATATATATATATATAAAGTAGCAATTCTCATAGAAGACTTTTTATAGGGAAAAATCAATGACACTGTAGCTTAATTAATATTGTTTAGATGTTATAGTCATTAAATATTTCATTGTTTCAAATGAAAGTAGGTTTCTTTTTGAATTTGTAATATGAAAATTTTCATTTTTCTTTCTAAATAAATGCTAATTTCTTACTAATTTGTTTTTTTTCTTTAGGTTGGGGAAATTTTGAAAATGTAATGATGTCACCACCATTTCCCTTATTAAAGAATCTGTATCTCAGTCACTGTTGAGGTTGTTTTCAATAAGAGCACCATATCTACTATCCTACATGACCTTCTTTTATTATAACCTTTGGAATATTTTTTAAACATTTAAATTTTCATCTCTTTTATCTACTATATTTTACTTTCATTCCAGAGATCTCCAATACCTGACATCCTGCATATCCGAATTTCCAACTTCCATTCAGATCTGAAGCAGCAGACATGGGATAGCCAATGCTACTGACCCCTATGTCAGTAACAGCCAGGTTAACGATAAGCGCATTTGTGCATGTCCGAAGTTCCTTGTGCTTAATGAAGATGCCCAGAACTATCATGTTGCTGAGAATACTTATCATACCTGAGAACATACACAAAAAAACCCATACCCTTTAATTCGAATGTTTGAACGTAGTGTTGAAATATTTAAGCCTCTTCAAAAACATAGCAAATCCACTTTAGTTCATTTATTTGAAGAGCTCCAGCTATTCTTAACACCAGTTGCAATATCTTCACAGCCCTTCTGTGAAATAGAAGAAAATTAAAACGTGAAGAATCTGTCGATTGCATAAGCAGCAGTGAGGGTCTGTGTTAATGTCATCGCTATTTATCACTCTGTCCTTGAAATTCCTCCCTTGCCCTTCCTGATACTAGCCTTGCTGTCCTTTAGGATATATGCATGACCATATCATCTCTTTTGGCAACATAATCTCCTCCTCTCCTTCCTGAGGCCAGAGACTTTTCTTCTCTTGAGTTTCCTTTCTCAAGCTTCAACTATCATTCTATCCCAATCTGTCACTTTCCAGCCCTAACTCATGCTCCACGTCCCTTTTCACTCAACTCATTGCCATCACACATTTATTAAGTATCTACTGTGTAGTAGATCATTTGACTCTTCCAATATTACTTGAAACTCAACATGTCCAAATCTGATTTCATCATCCAACACACACACTAGCACACAAGAATACACAGCGCAAGCTTTGGCTATCCAGAGAGGAAGTCAAGCCGGCTTCAGGTACATTGAGAAGCCTCACGGGTGATACTGCCGTTTCCACAGTCTGACTTTTAGCCTTGCTGGTCCAGAAACTCCATTTTTTCAGTGCCCCAGATTTGGCTGGATTCAGATAGGTGCAGGACTGAACCTCTTAATCAGAATATAATGAATTAACTCACAATGAGAAGTCCAGATGCACATGTTAGCCCTAGGAACACCCCCTCTGTGCTGCAAAGGATGCATAAATTTCCCATAAAACAGATGTGGGTCATACTAGGTCCTAAGGGTGTGGGTGGGTGATGAATAGATTTAGCTGAGAAGCTAGAACCACTACCAGATATGTGGGGGGCTGAAGGAGGAGTGAGTAAAAAAGAAATGGAGTTGTGTTCACCACCATGAAGAGTACTACTGCTGAAGAGCCCCCAGATGCGAGCAGAGGGAGGGAAGGTTTCCAAGCACCAACACACAAAGTATCAGCTAAGGAAGAACTTTTATGTTTGCACCTTGGTCAGAACTTTCCGTTTGGCATCCGATTACACTAATCTTGTAGATTCCTGTTTTCCTTCCCCATGTTGCGGAAGGGTAAGCCTGCTAGAATTAACCACAGCCCTCCTCCTCCTCAAAACTTCTAATAACCCCCTATTGTCTGCAGGACCAAAGTCCACGTGTTCAGTCCACGTGTCCCAATCTGATTATTCCAGGCTCTTTGCCTCACTCTGTTTTCACACTCTAAGCAAATTTCTACACTTGTCAAATAAGCTCTCCATTCTAGTTATTTATCAAATACAATGCCAGGCTTGTTGTAAATTGTGACTCATATTTCTCTCACTTAGAACACCCTACTTCTTTCCTCTATCCAAATGCTACCTTCTTCCACATTTCTCTTGAAGCCCAGCTCTGCCCTCAGAGCCTTCCCCTACCTAAATATACTCTTTTCTCTAAATTCCCAAAGTACTTGCTTATAATCTCCTGAATCTTATGTGATGATATATCATTTAACCCTTATGTATTCCTAGTCTTCCCTTGTAGATGTCAGGCTCCATAATGATTTCTATGTTCTTTGAGTATGTGGCATGTAACAGATTTGTTTAATAAATGGACCCCAACTAAAACTCACATTGCTTAATTTCAATTATTCCTGAAAGCATAATTAAGGCACAGAAATAACAAACCTGATGAGTCTTTGGCTCTATTTTTAGCATCGAGTATTGTAGTGTGAATACAGAAATATTCCAAAAAGCTTAATTAATTTCAAGAAAATTTCTGGGCTACCTACAGATTTGATAATTTAAATAGTCAGATAAAACACAGTGCAATAGATTGCTACCTACCAAGTATGCAACCAGAATAACATCACTGCTTTTGGGGAGATCTTAGATACAATGGAGGGTAAGAGGTAAACAATTCAGTTCCTCTTGTATTCTCTCTGCAGCTGTCTCAAGGGCTCTGCTTTATTTTTCTATCTGTAGGTGTTTTCTAATGAATAGACAAAAGATCATTTAATAATTAGGTCTAACTTATGTCAGTTTCTCCTTGGTTCTGTAGCTTTCCTCTCATCTCTTTGGCAGATGCTTCTTAATCTACTTCCTGGCCCTTCTTTATCTCCATGTAATGAAATATATGCACTGTCCAAGTTTCCATCCTACACCCTCTCTTTTCACTCAACACATAATCTGAGTTATTTCATCCATATCCAAGGATACATACTGATACTTTCCAGATCAATTTCATAAAATTCAAACCCATATGTTCAGCTTTTTACTGGACATTTCTCGAACTTAACCCAGAGACATGTCCTGCGCCAAACTGTTCTTCCCCAGCTGTGTTCCTCTTTTGGTGAATAGCCTCACCATCTGTCCAGTTGCCCAAAAAAAAACCTAGTTATCATCTTTGATGCTTCCTCATATTCTCCCCCAATCTCCACATCAAGCTATCAATTCTAACTTCTAGCTCCTGTCCTTTTACTTCTTTCTGCCCCCTCCCTCCTCAGGATCCTTCTGAATCTTAATCAAGTAGGGGCCCTTTACATGGTCTTTTAGTAATTACTATAACATATTTCTAAAATGCAAATTGAATCATGTCATTCAGTGACTCCTTATCACCTTTATGATTTATGTGATTCTTCTTTACCTGGTACACAGCCATCCTCTTCAGCCTTCATTTTATAATTCATTCATAATAAATTTATTTCAGGTCCTTAATTTACTATGCCCTCTTTGCTCCCAGCTTCAATCAGAGAAAGGGAGAGTGCTTAAGTTAGCAAAAATTTGAACAAGCTAAAATCCAACAGAAATATTAAATTAAAAATTGAATTTAAAGTGAAAAATCCAAATAGGCTCTTATTAAAAGTAAGAAATGAAATAAATGCCTAGACTGAATTATTTTCCTCATAGCTTTGGTTTTGATTTGGAAGCTTAAATGGGTTTTATTAATGGGGTAAAATTAGGGGGCCCAAAGAACAATAAATGTTTAAAGCATAAAGGGGTTGGCTATGCCCCCTTCAGTTTATCTACCAAAAAACGCAACCACATACTCACAGTCTGCCTTGATAAAACTGACCCATGTGGTTAGATGTGAAGGCTCAGGAATGAAAATGCCTGCATGCAAAACCTGATGTAGCTACATAGATGTGTGTGTTGAGCAAGTTACTTAAACTCTTCATCTGTATAAATGGAGGAAAATAAAACTAATCCACTTACTGAATTAGCATAAAGATGAATTATTCTGCATGTTAATTTAGGACAGTGCAAGTATTCAAATGGTAACATTAGCAGTATAGATGGTAGACGTGGTGGTCTTACTACTCATAGTTGTAGGAATACAGTAGTACTAGCAGTAAGATTACTGCTATGTTACTATATTACAGAGGTTAGAACCAGAATATTTTCTTATTGAGAAATTTGCTTTGCTTGCTGTAACCAGACCAGAATACAGCTTTTCTTAGTCATCTACAAAACACTAACTAAACCAAAAGTTTGTTTACAAAGTATTTCCATGTAATTGTGATAAGGAGATTTTCCATTTAGGTAGCATATGTTTTCTCATATGTTTGCAATAAATAAATGATCAAAGAGACAATGGAACTTGTCCAGTGCTTAACATACAGAGGTATTCAAATGAACAAGTAAGCTTACCACTAAAATTTATAAAAATTAGCTGAGGATAACAATTTCTAGCACAGAATAGTCTTAATTGTGAATTATGGGGAAGCAAAGCAATTATAAAGAACAAACTGGGTACAGTAGCATTTGTTATACTTTCCATGTCACTTTAGAATATATTTGAAAATTTTAATGTCAATCTAAAAAATAATCCAGTAATAAAAAGTTACTTCTAAAACTCATTACTGAACACAAAGTTGGAAATGAAATGACTGCTCAGTGTAAAATTTAACCATAGTTCAATCCATACATAAAAAATGATAAGCAGATAATTTCTATTGTCATTTCCCCTATTCCATTTTTTCAGCTAAGAAGTCTTTACCTTAAACAAGTCTATGCATAAGTGAATCAATGAGAATGTGTATGTGGGGAAAAAAACAAATATATTTGCCCAACACCTATTGCATGTGTCACTTAGGTGCATTTATGTGTCACTTAATGTTACTCTTCACAACAATTGTGACAGGTAGCTTTTTCTTATCCCCATTTCACAGGTCAAGAAAATGGAAGAACAAAAAGGTAAAGGAATTTGCTCACTGTTGCAAAGATATTAAAAGAGGAAACCTAAAGCTCAAGTTTTCCAATATAACATTTGGAATGAGCTGAATTTTCAAACTTTGTCCTCAATGACAATACACTCTGCTCTCTCTTTTTACAATTTTAATTTTCTTTCCAAGATCTTTGAATCTCAACTAGATTCCCTCAGCAAAGACAAAACTACAAAATTTGAGAATAGTAAATATTGTTAAAATAATCTTTTAAGTTTTTAATGTTTGCACTCTTCCCCAATAAAAACATTTGACAGTGATAACCACATATATGGCTTACTATAAAATAATTTTTCATTTTATAGTAAACTTTTCTCAGCCTCACTTAACTGCTCTCACATTGTTCACCAAGATTCACTTTAACCATCATTAACAATGATTTCATTTATCCTATCACCTACATTCTTTGATCTCTACAGCCAGGAAATAGAGCATTATCATCCTTATTTACATGAGCACCTCAACTCAGAAAGGATGGATTGTCAAGGTTGGACACAGTATGGAACTCAAAACATTCTCTCTGACCCATGCTTTTATCTACTGCCTTCTGATGAAAACTCTTTTTTCACCCATTCGAAAACAAAATAACTGTAATTGGAGTAAACATTCCTACCTGCCATAATCAAGTAAGTTGCAACAATATTGTGTTCTGTCTGTGAAAAGATGGAGCCATCTTCATTTCTGGACTCTGAACTGTTGCCTAAATTATTCCTTAGCATTTTGCAGGAACGATATTGAGGCAGCCTTCACAATGCGCCTTCAGTACTTCTGAAATGTTATAAAAGCCATGGAGCGAACATTTTCAGAACCAATCATTTCCACTTAAAGACCTCAAAGGAGGGCTTTTTCATAGAGGCCCTCCCTTAACAAATTTAACTGGGCTAAAGAGGAAAGGACTTTAATTCCCAGAACAAGGGAAAAGCTTATTAGCAAAATAAAGAGAAAAACCAAGCACCACACATTTTAAACAATTTGGACATTAACCTTATATTTAAGGAAATCATCAAGTGCACACATCTCATTTAAATAATAAACTCAGAAAATATGTGCAGGAGCTGACTTAACTAATTTCTGTTAGAAATCAGTTCTGAAATTAACAGCTAGGATTAGTCCTCTGAAACTATTCAGATTAAGGTCCTTCTTTCTGTTGACCCTTTCAAGTTTTCCCATTTCAGTCCCTTTTGTCTTTTCCATCACAATTTAAATAGAAATATATAAATACTCTTCTTTCATCCTTCCAAACCCTACCCTAAAGGTAATATTGTTCAGTGTATATCTTTTCTGCTTTTCTTTGTTGACACATATGCTCATACAAAGTTTTGAGGTTTCCCCATTTTTTCTTTTCTTAAGCAAAAATGGGAAGTATGTATATATAAAATCATTCTGTAACTTGTTTTCCCCTAAAGCCATATCAGAAATTCCAGGTCAATAAACCTAAGTCTAGCTTATTAATAAGTATATATTTCATAGCATGAATATAGTATGATCCCCTTCCCAAGCCACCTCAGTTAATTTACCCTGCACTTTCATATGCACAATTATCTGATAATAATCTTGGCATTTACCAGCAAAGTATCTGGATTCAATCATTCATCTTGTAAAATACTGAGCATTCTAATATTCTGCTATCTTGTTATAAATTAAAAAGTAGATTACAAAAGTGGGTTACAATCTAACACGAACATTTACAGCTAGAATAAAATTTCCCTACCACCTTTGCCCCCAATATTGTTGATGCCATGTAATATTATTAAAATCTGATTCTTCTCAATAGAATTTCTGAAAATCAGTTCACTTCAGAGAAATGCTAGATGCATCAAGTTAACAGTATAAGCATAGAACCTCTAGAGGGCTATATTTATCCACTTTTATAAATCTTAGCCTAGCAGGAAGGGACCAAACCAAGCTAATCCTTTTGCCTATTCTTTCAGCTAAATATACACTGAAGAAGATGAATCAAGTTGGTTTATTTGTCCCACATCTTATAGCTACAAGTACTCAGATTTTTATAAATGTACAGTAATACTCCAGCATATCTATACTAAGAAAACAAACCTCATGAGTATTCCAGTATCAAAATATTTTCAAACGACCCTAAAGCAATGAAAATAATACCCAAGAAGAACTCTCTCATTTAAAAATCTATGGACTATTGGGTCTTAAGTTTTTTCTTTTTCACATTCAGCATGCAGATTAAAAAAATTTTTATGTTTTCTTTGTTCATAGTCCCTTCCTTTTCTGTAATGGATTATACCTAGCTGTAGCATCCATTTAAAATTTTCCAGAAATAATTACTTCCATTTATAAGAACTGAAGAGAAACAATTCCAAAGATGTCCAGCTGCCTACCATAAATAAAATCATTTACCATAAATCATTTTACAGATGAGTGTGTCAGGTGCATTCAAAGTATTTTTGCATGCTTCCTTCATGAATGATATAGTAAAGTTATTGGGATGAGGCTTAGAAGATGTAACTATAAGTGTATCAAGTTTACATAGTTCATGATTCTTTAAGTGGCCTAAAACCAATCTTCTCTTCCTGATTCTTCTCAAATTTTCAATAATACCAGGAAATATTGCTTGGATCCATTAAACTATTTAATTGCTATAGCAACAAGTACACTCTAATACCATGTAAGCAATCAGAATGTTATTCAGTTAACTCAAAGGGTTTAATTTGTGAATAATCATCAAAGTGCCTTTTACAATGGAACTGAGATACTTGCCACAGTACCAAATTAATGCTAGGCTCCCTAAACATGTGAACTAAATGCCCCCAAGAAAAGCAGAAAGAACTCTATAAAAAAGGGAAAAATAAAATGTAGAAATAAAAATTTAAAGATGGCCAATGACCAAAAGATATACCGTGATCAAAGGTTTACAATGACCAAAAGGTAAAAGGTGACGTTCTCCAGGTGGTTTGTCTGCTGACTGGTACATTACTTCCATCAGAGCCATTTTAGACTTTGAAAAATGTTTAAAAAAAAAGTATAGGAACATTGCAGTATTATTTGTCCTTGGGCCAATGCTATCACCCTTCTAATGCTCGCTATGTCTTTCACAAACTAACAGTAAAAACCCTGGTCCTAACTCTCACTGAAAATTTCAACCTAAGGATTCTAAACCAAATAGTCTCCTTTTCCAAGTTGTAAAAGCACAACCATTTCTTCCTGTGAAAAACTAATTTTCCGCATATTTGTTCATCATATGTATTTATGGCCTATGTATTAATCCTTCTACAATCCCATTAATAAATAAGTAAAACAAACTACTGACATAGGCAATACTCATGCTACTCAAACAAGCATTCAAGGTAAACCAAGTATAGGTATAGCATGCTAGAAAATTTAATAGATATAGCAACATCATTCCTCCTGAAAATGAATACATGTGAAGGGGAAAAAAATCAATGGGAGGGGAAATGGTCCCATATCACATATTCTAACTTGCTATCATGGTTACTTCTTGATACTACACTAGCAATGGGGACCAAAACCAATTTCATTTGTGATGCACCTACCCAGGAACATGCATCAGGCAATCAAATATTTATGGTGAATAACATTTTAAACTTTTAGAGTCCCTTAAAAAAAAGTAAAATAAAAACATTCAGTAAAACTTTTCAACATTCCACCTATGTTGAATGAGAAAAAGTGTTTCTTCAGAAATTTCTTGAATTTGTTATTACTTGAACAGACCTGTTGTACCTTTGATTCATAATCAGTAGTAAAATTTGCTAATTATTAATTACAATAAGAGAAACTACTTTATTAACTTTTGTACTAACATACAAAAGGGAAATATAATAAAGGGTGTTGATGTTCTTAAAAACAAAAGGCAAAGATTTTGAAGGGGGGGGTGTTAATTTACAAATAATAATGAAGTACTGCTCAACTAGCCTGTATTTTAAGAGACCAGTTATAAATATAAACAAATCATTTTTTCTACCTGAAATCCACTGGGTTTAAGTGTTAGTTGTTCCTTTTAGCTTCAAAAATAGCTCTAGTTTAATAAATACAGCTCAAAGTAACTTAAAGGAATAAAACACTTTATTTTAAAAATTCAAATGAAAATTATACATTAAGCAACCAGAGTTTCAAGCATTGTACAAAACAGTAAAATATTTGTTCATACTCAATTTAAGAGTAAAACTGCTTATTCTGTTGCAGTCTTTTTGCATGACGTTGACATTTTAGTTCCACTGTCATTAGATGACCACTTCCTCAAAACTTGCTCAAGAAACAAGTTTCTGATTCATAGAAGCAGATCATGCAGCAAGTTTCTCTGTCAACTGTTACATTTAATGTCCTCTCCCTGATTAAGAGAAAATTAAAGTATTAAGGATTTAGAAAAATTAATTAATAGCATTATTACCCAAATCTGAATTTTAAAATCAGCATTAGTTCTTACAATGGTTGGTAAACATACTTTACCAATTCTAGAAATACAGTCATTTACAGATTTTGTTTTCCACACTCACCTCTGAAACCACCACCCCCTCTTCCTCCTCTGAAGCCTCCACCTCCTCTTCCACCTCTAAAACCACCTAAAAGTAAGGAAACATTTATTAAACTGTAGCCTATCATATTCTGATAAGCCTATAATTATAGTATCAATACAATTCCTATAATCATAAAGAATAAAAACTCACATATTTAATGGTACAGAATTTTTTAAATGTTAAAATTGGAAAAACCTGTAGAACTTTTCCAAACAAGCAGCAAGATGAAACCCTAGATCACAATATTTTAAACGTTACCCTGTTTTAATTAGAATGCTTGTTAAAGTTCAGCTTAGCCCCATTTAAGAGTAGGAGTACCTCAACTTTTGTTTATGGTAAGTATCATTGATAGAACTAAGGCTTTTTGACCTAAGAACAAAGGGTAGCAGAAACAGGTGGTTTCACTCTTGGAAGAACTGCAATAAATATAATATTTAAGGTTAACTGAGCTGCACAGGAGCTATCACTGATGCTCACATGCTGATGAGCCTTGAAATTTTGAATTTTTATAGCATTTTTCTATTATCCAAAGCATATTTGGCTTCCTGTTTCAGTCTTCATTTTTACTTTTTTGGGGGTCTAAATCTGTAAGGAATGATGAATTATAAAAAGAAGAAATAAACATTTACTTCCAAAATAAAAACATAAAGTTTTAATAAAACAGAAAGAACTTGTCAATTTTTTAAATGTTATATATAAGACTGAATATAGAATGGAAATGGAGAAGGTGTCCATTTATCAAATTCTCAAAGGGGTGCTCCAAAAAATATTTAAGAACATATTCAGATCTAAGAGATTACCTCCTAGCTATCTAGACCACAAAATTTATAGACTGAAATGATCATTGAGAGCATTCTCTCTTTCCTGACCCAGTAACAGAACTGTCCAATCCCAATTTTCAGCTCCTCTTCCATACCTACAACTTTAGCTCTGTGCCCATTACACTGGCAGCCACCCACCCAACCACTCGCCCCCCACCTCATCTCCAACCCTGCCAATCACTGGCTGCCCATGATGATGAATGTACCGAAGTTTTGGGTAAATACATATATCAAAATCCTGAAGTCAAAGCAGTGACTTTAATGGCAATAGTCTTTGACATGACATCAGAAGTTAACGTTTTTACTTCTGGGTTGCCAATTGTTTGGTTACTTTTGTAAGCCTCCATTTCCTCATTGATAAAATAAGGATGTCATCTACCTCACAGGGTTTTGCTGAATATTAAAGAATATACATGGGGTGGAGCCAAGATGGTGGCGTGAGTAGAGCAGCGGAAATCTCCTCCCAAAACCACATATATTTATGAAAATATAAAAAACACAACTCTTCCTAGAATAGAGACCAGAGGACACAGGACAACATCCAGACCACATCCACACCTGTGAGACCCCAGCGCCTCGTGAAGCGGGTAAGATACAAGCCCCGGCCCCCAGCTCCTGCCGGGAGGAGAGGAGTCAGAGAAGGAGGGAGAGGGAGCCCAGGACTGCTGAACACCCAGCCCCAGCCATCTGGACCAGAGTGCAGACACAGTGCATGCGTGGGGTTCTGGATACTAGGGAAACAGGGCACCAAGACTGGTGAGCGGGTCCCTGAGGCCAGCGCTGAGAACAAAGAAAAGCCAGCAGCTTTTTACTTTTTTTTATGTTTTTTGTTGTTTTGTTTTGGCAAGTGGTTTTTGGAAGTCTTAAAGGGACAGGGCGGGACACTTAGTCCAGAGGCAGGGAATTTGGGGATCTCTGGGCACTCTAACTCCCTGGGCAGCAGGGAGCACGGAGGCCCCTCACGGAGATAAATAGCCTCCCGGGCGCTCCCCCTCCAACGCAGCTCCACAATTTTGGAGCAGCAGCCTGAACCAGGCCACGCCCACAGCAACAGCAGAGATAAACTCCATAGAAGCTGGGCAGGAATCAGAAGCCCTGTCTGTGTGCACCTGCCCAGCACAAGCCACAAGAGGTTGCTGTTCTCCCAGGAGAGGAAGGCCACAAACCAACAAGAAGGGAAGTTCTTCCAGCCGTCACTCGTCCAGCTCGGAAAACTATTTCTATCACCATGAAACGGCAAAATTACAGGCAAACCAAGATCACAGAGACTACACCAGAGGAGACAGACCTAACCAGTCTTCCTGAAAAAGAATTCAAAATAAAAATCATAAACATGCTGACGGAGATGCAGAGAAATATGCAAGAACAATGGGATGAGAAGCAGAGAAAAATGCAAGAGCAATGGGAAGAAGTCCAGAGGGAGATCAGAGATGCCAGGAAGGAGATTACAGAAGTGAAACAATCCCTGGAAGGATTTATAAGCAGAATGGATAAGATGCAAGAGGCCATTGATGGAATAGAAACCAGAGAACAGGAACGCATAGAAGCTGACATAGAGAGATAAAAGGATCTCCAAGAATGAAACAATATTAAGAGAACTGTGTGACCAATTCAAAAGGACCAATATCCATATTATAGGGGTATCAGAAGAAGAAGAGAGAGGAAAAGGGATAGAAAATGTCTCTGAAGAAATAATTGCTGACAACTTCCCCAAACTGGGGGAGGAAATAATCGAACAGACCACAGAAATACACAGAACTCCCAACAGAAAGGACCCAAGGAGGACAACAGCAAGACACATAATAATTAAAATGGCAAAGATCAAGGACAAGGACAGAGTTTTAAAGGCAGCTAGAGAGAAAAAGGTCACCTATAAAGGAAAACCCATCAGGCTATCATCAGACTTCTCGACAGAAACCTTACAGGCCAGAAGAGAATCGCATGATATATTTAATGCAATGAATCAGAAAGGCCTTGAACCAAGGATACTCTATCCAGCATGATTATCATTTAAATATGATGGAGGGATTAAACAATTCCCAGACAAGCAAAAGCTGAGAGAATTTGCCTCCCACAACCACCTCTACAGGGCATCTTACAGGGACTGCTCTAGATGGGAGCACTCCTAAAAAGAGCACAGAACAAAACACCCAACATATGAAGAAAGGAGGAGGAGGAATAAGAAGGGAGAGAAGAAAAGAATCTACAGACAGTGTACATAACAGTTCAATAAGTGAGCTAAGTTAGGCAGTAAGATACTAAAGAGGCTAACCTTGAACCTTTGGTAACCACGAATTTAAAGTCTACAATGGCAATAAGTACATATCTTTCAATAGTTACCCTAAATGTAAATGGACTTAATGCACCAATCAAAAGACACACAGTAATAGAATGGATAAAAAAGCAAGACCCATCTATATGCTGCTTACAAGAAACTCATCTCAAACCCAAAGACATGCACAGACTAAAAGTCAAGGGATGGAAAAACATATTTCAGGCAAACAACAGTGAGAAGAAAGCAGGGGTTGCAGTACTAATATCAGACAAAATAGACTTCAAAACAAAGAAAGTAACAA